AATGAAATTCGTCACCTAATAGATTGTCAGAACATAAACAACACATTCTTAGACTTCAATCCAAATTTAAAAAATCTACCTGTTTCAATTGGCATTTTGTGGTTCATACATCTAAATTTGAAAAACGCTATTGCTTAATCTAATGGTAAAATGTTAAAGTAGTTTTCAAAACCATATTGAGTTTTAAAAATTCTATAATTCAGACATTTACTGGATCCATAAATAGAAGTTTGCCAACCTTGAATAAACTGATTCTTAATTCTTTCTTAAAATGTGGGACGGTATAATCCAATAACTTGACAAACCCAGAGAATCTAAAGAAGTATGCACAAATTTCAACCAAGGAAAATCCACATCAAAATCAGAGTATAGTTTCATTGACATCTAATACAGCATAGAACAAATTTTATCTGTTTTATCATTAATCAATTTGCCCCAATAGTTCAGAACCTTTGACTTAATTTGCAATGACAAAGGCAATATTCCTAGCTCGCCATAAATCATACATGATGGGGTAGATTGCTTCAGTCCGAAAACTAATTTAATATATTTCAATTGGAAACGATCAATTATTTCTACATTTTCTACTCCCCATACCCCTGATCCATATAAAATTATAGGAGCCACCATTGCATCAAATGTATATCAAATGGAAGGGCAAGTTTCCGAGACTTTGTTAACACAGAAAACATAGCTTTTCGAGCCTGATCAATCAGATTTTTCTTGTGCCTAAAAATTTCCGTTAAATGAAAATTGAACCCCAAAGTAATCAAAACAATCTACGATCTCAAGTATGTTACCCTCAAACTCTAGAGGATTAATATTATTCAACACCCTTTTACCTTTAATAGCTGCCGGTTTCTTTTTGCCGCGCCAGTTTTTGGCAAATTCAACCCCTATTTTTACGCGCTTTAAAAAAATGAAAACTATCTTAAATTGTCATATTTACTAAAAGGTTTAAAAGTTAATATGTTTTGTTTTTCTATCTTTAATACTTTTTTGTAAAAATGCATTGAAAGTTTGCATTTGCCATGGCAAAGTGTGTTTTGCCATGGCATTTCGGCATTTTGCCATGGCAAATTAGAATTGCCATGGCAAGATTTTTCCTACTTTTGCCATGGCAAATTTGCCATGACAATTATGTTTTTAAAACATCACAAAACATTCTAAAACTTATCCTATGACATGTTGTTGGTGCTATTGTTATGTTTTTATTGCAATCTTTAATTTTTTTCATTTTGCCATGGCAAATTTTTGCCATAGAAATGCCATGGCAATCACATAAAAGTTTGCCATGGCAAAATATTATCAATAAAAAAAACCCCATTTTTTCTTTGATTTTTTTTTTTTTTAAATTTATACATGGCAAATGACATATAGATTATAATATAATATTTGTACAATTTTTCCGACACCTGTTGTGCTCACCAACTAACAGTACACAACACAAAAATTACAGTATGCATAACAACCACAATCCGAAAATGTTACATATCTAAACACACAAATAATTAAATGTTTTTACACCATTACTTGAATAATTGCTGAATTCACTTTCAAATTTAAACCTTAATAACGGACTGTTTACATCTACAAACACTATTTAAGATGACAACGGAGTCAATTATACTGAAAATACCTAAAATGAGTTGTTTGTTTTTGCTTAGAAAATTTATCAACCTTTTTTTGAACACATTCGTGATTTAATTTTGGAAGCAGTTAGTCAAAAAATGTGTTTTTAAACATTATGAAACGGCACCATTACCGTTTTATCTGCTATTCGCGTAACCTGTCAATTATCGATAACGCATAACAATAACTATACCCGTGAATTACTGGCCCATACTACTCGTCAAACATGTATCGTACTAATACTGTACAACTTTTATGAATATCTCGACAATAATCATCTAACTTTTATTTAGCCTTTTCATAAATGAAGAAATAGTCGGCCAAGATTTAACATAAATAATTTTGAATAGCGCAAAATCGCACGACCATGGGGATGGTTAAATCAATGTAGCTGCCTTTGCCTGCTATATCAATAATGTGAGAAATAAAAATTTGTTTGTCCCGTAATCTTATAGACATTACATTGAGTTTACCGAAAATTGTAAGTTAAATAGCTTGCTGTAAATTCAACCTCGTTTTCTTACAATATAAAAGGAAACAGACAACATTTTTAATGTAAACGCCTATAGAGATGACTGGTGATGACAAATTTCTAAAATATTTAACGATAATCTGCGGATGATACATTTTTATGATTCGATAGAAAAATCGGAAATATATTTTTAGTGAAAGTTTTGAATATAATGTTTGCCAGTAAATCGAACACTGAGACAAATTATGAAATTTATTTTGTGTCCCAGTAGAAACTAAATCGAGATCTATTCCGTGTATAGATGAATATTCATGATAATAAAAATCAAGGTCAGATCATATTGATGGAGTGAAACCTTTTATTTCTATGAAAAATGTCAGGCTTTTATATGAATAAGTCAGACAAAATATATAATATCTCGTTCTTATTTGTACATCGTACCACGGACTTAAGCTCAGTTTTTCGTTATTTTACTTAATTAATATTTTACAGAATTTCATACACAGGCAACGTGACACTAATATAATATAATTATGATGATGATAATAATGAACTTCGAAGGAAAACAAATAAACTTTTCCGCAAATTTTACCAATAGTCGCGTGACATCCGAGACAGATACCAGACGGACAGTATATCACTTCAGTGAACATACATGTATATTTTCTAAATCTTCAACTGATATTGGTAAAACTGATTTGATTAAACACCATATTATAAGGCCTTACAGATGACAAATCATTCAAGTTACCGCAGAATCCCACTTGCTTTGTATGAAGAAGTAAGACAGCAATTGAAGGTAATGGTAGAATGTGTTGCTATAAGAGAAAGCCAGTCATCTTAGTGTAGTAATGTTGTTTTAGTTGCTAAGGAAAAAAGATCATTCTTTGCGTTTTTGCATTTATTTTAGACAGCTGAACAAGCGTACTGTCAAAGACTCATACACATTACCTAGAGTTGATGATTAATTTTGTTGGATTCTTTAGTAAATACAAAATATCATTCTAAATTAGATTTACGTAGTGGGTATTACCAGGTGGAAATTGCTGAACAAGATCGAGAAAAGACAGCTTTTAGTGTAGGTCCTTTGGGGTTTTATTAGTGTAAAATAATGGAATTTGGTCTAACCAATGCTCCCGATACTTTTCAACGGTTGATGGAAAATTGTATGGGGGAGTTAAAACTTAAAAATGTTTGATATATTTAGATAATGTTCTTATTTTTTCCAGAACTTTCGAATAACATATTTTCGTTTGGAAGCAGTTTTCGAGCGTTTGGAATACAAATGTGATTTTTTTAGTGCACGTGTACCTTATCTTCATTATGATATTTCAGCAGAAGGCATTAATTCTGATCCTTCTAAAATAGAACCTTTGAAAACATGGCCTCTTCCTTATAATGTTAAAACATGAAGAACTGTTCTTGGATTTTCAGGGTACTACAGACGTTTTGTTCCTGATTATGTAAAAATAGTTAAACCTTTGAATGATGGTCTTGTAGGACATCCAACTAACAAGGCTTCTAAGAAGAGTAAGAAGACCAAAACTCCATGGATATGGGGAGATGCTCAACAAACAGCTTTTGATACTACTATTGATAAACTGTTTAAACCCCGTTTTAGCAATTATGCTGATATTACCAAAAATAGTGTAAAATAAGAATCCCTTAAGAAAGCCCAACGCGGCAAACCTTTTATTGTTAATTGTGATGCCTCGACAGAAGGTCGTGACGCAGTTCTCTATCCGGAGCAAGATGGACTAGAGCGTGTCATTTGTTATTCCAGTAGAGGTTTACGTGCTATGGACAGGAATTACCCAATACATAAGTTAGAGTTTAATGTCTTAAATGGGCCGTAACGGACAAGTTCTATGTTTATTTATCGATAATTTTAGGTAGAAATGTTGTTCAAAGACATATATTGTCGAAAAAAGAAAGACTGCTAACAACTGACAGCTTGCAGTCAAAAAAATTCATCTCTGAACACTGTGAGCGTAACATAATTGACTTACCACCTCTGTGTTTGATATATTCTGGACTTATCACTGCAGTTTTCTGAAGCCGATCCTCTATTTTTTTTGTGTCCTGTCCATTTTCTGCATAAACGATCAGCTCTAATAATTCAGTCTGCCAGGTCTTTCTCAGACGCTCTTTAAAATCTGTATAACCTTTAGCACCTTTTGATATAACTTTTCTCAATATCGTTTCATTCTTATCAGTTGGATCCTTACCCTGTATCATTGTATTTTATCAATAAGATCCAAAAATATTTTAACTTTATATCATCTTAATGTTGATTACATTTTTAACACGTTCGATAAGTGTTTAAATTTTGTTTCATTTGTAAGAATAAGATAAGCTTACCAAGTTCACTTTTTGAAATAACTAATACAGAAATCTTGAGATATTTCAAATGTAAGTTACAGGCATTAAATAAGATTATGCCTCAGTAATTATATTACAATCAACAATTAAAAATTCACCATGTCGCACATGTCATCAAATACTGACAATTAAATAATGTAATCTAAATTGCACTGGCCTATTAACTATTTTATATGGTACCTTGATATTCTTTCTGTCTGCGACGGTAAGTAATCCAAAGCCTGTCTTACAATCAATTATAGGATCAGGATGCAAATACTTCTTAAGTGCATTGAAATTCTTAACTATGACTTTTCGGCAAATCTCAATATCTGAAGACTGGGTCATCTCCGGTTCTTCTTAAATACAGATTGATAATCATTAATTAAATAATCTACATATTATGCTGTATGGTTTGCTTGACAAAATGATAAGTGTATTGATTATCTATCATTTTAAAATTGATTCGAGTTGATTTGCAATGGTATCGTTTACCTTTGCATTAAAGGAGGTTATACTTATTGACCTCTGTTTTTCATTGGTTTATCAGGTGTTTTTTCTCTTTTGTCGTTATGTGGAATGTCGCTATTGTTATATCTGTCCAACAATGTAGCCATGACCACAAAAGGAATATGTGTATTCTTTCTTTTACTTTTTTAGGAGTACATTCCCTGAGCAAAGCTATGACATTTAGTATTGATTGTTTCTTACCTTGTTCATTTACCAATAGAATGTTCTGCTCCAACAACTGCTGCGCCATTTCAACTTGTGGTGTTATGGATATTACATGCGGAGGTGTAGGCGCCCTAGTCGGAGGCGTAGGTGGTCTAGACGATGAGGTAGCAACAGAAGGTGACCAACATTGCCGCTTGGTTTCCCTTTGAATTATTTGTGCCCTATGAGGTTGCATTGCTTGTGGCTGCCTTTTCCGTAGCGTCGTTTTGTCATGGTGCTCAGGTCTGACAGGCGGTTTCCACTTTCTAGTCGAGCGTCTCATTTTGTCTAACATATAATATAAACAAATTAAAAGAAATGAGCGTTTTAAAATCATTTTTTTTCTACTATACTATACCAGTGTTTTAAAATCATTTTATTTTCTACTATTTAGTATAATATTATAATGAATATAGGCGCATTTTACCGATAATTTACATTTTATCATAAAGCTACATTTTTCAATCAATTTGACCTTCTGACTTCTCCCATAATTAATTTATATATTTATTTATTCAAATACTTGAAAGACTTTTTACTTATGTCGTTATTTAGTAGCATATTATAGTTAGCTGTAAACTTGATTGACTTCAGTTTAGATTAGAGATGTACCAAAACGTCCCGTCAGACAACAGGTCCCGTTCAAGATACAGCTAGTCCACAGCACGTACTTAATTCTGTGTATTCCAAAGCCACAACGGTTTCTCTTATGATATAAACAAGTAAATGTCCGATAAAAAAATTAGTCTTCAGTCCAAAAGGTATTGGCCATTTAATTGTATCTCAATTTACTAACTATTTGTATTAATAGATAGATTGATTGACGTTTTTCACTCCGAATACTTCGGACCATTGTAAAAAACGTTTTGACCTGTTGTTTGGACACTTATGACCATGATATAGCCAATGCCGACACGATTCAAGTTCTTAAAGATAATTCTAAAAAATCGTTTTTTCCTAGTGTAGTATATTCAAATTACACATAGTATATCATTAAAGGAAATGCTTTTTCAAGTTGTGTACATAACATTTTTCTTACCATGACATTGACATAAAATGCAAATAGTATTTTACTATGTTTACCGTGATTGTATATGCATTGTAAAGATGGGAATCAATAGCAGACCAGGTAAGAATGTTAAGAATGTGAGCAAACATTCTTCAATAGTATCGTTTTTCTTTGTATTTGATGGGTAATTACCTATTTCACACTCTACTTTTATGACAATTTGTGCCCCCCTTTTTCATTATGTGGAATGACGCATTTGGTAAATTAGTCAACATGGTGGCCATGTCCACAAATTGATTTTGTATATTCCTTTTTTAATTTAGATTTTCAGGGACGCACTTCCCGAGCATGATTTAGACACAAACAAATTGCTGTCTCTAACCTTGTCGATTTGTCAACTGGATGTCTTGCTTCAAACACTGCTGCGCCATGTCCGCTTGTTGTGGTATGGCTGTTACAGGCGATGATGTACGTGCCCTTGCTGGTAGTGTAGGTGCCCTTGACGTGGACGTATGTGAATTAGGCGATGCTGTAGCCGAAGAATGTAACCCATGTTGCTGTGTAGGTCCCCTAGGCGGTGTATGTACCTTATGAGCTGTCGGGGGTTGTGATCTTTTTTGTGGCTGCCTTTTTCGTGGCGGCGGTTCGTCATCGTCTTCAAGTCTGGCAGGCGGATTCCTTTTTCGAGTCGAGCGTCTCATTTTTTCTAAAAAATAAAAAATCATGCGTTTTACAATTATTGCTTTTTACAATACAGTATAATGTAGTAATGATTAGTTGACTAAATGGGTAGTAATGGCTAATGGTGTATTTAAAAAACAAGAAAAGCATTATATCGGAAAGCTACATCATTCCAAATCAATCAATTCGTTATATGCCTTTAAAATATTATACTGTATATGAAAAATATCTATATACCAAATATTTAAATAGTCATATTGTTTGCGCAACTACGAGTAATGTTAATCACACATCCGTATTGCTCAGAGATATGCTTAATGAACATGTTGCATTATTTTTATATTTTACACGGTTATGCCTTTCATCAACTACAACATGTTTGGTTATAAGTTGACTGACTATAATATAAACGTAGGCATGTTGCAAAAGCCTTAAACGAGTCTTTGTCTTATAAGTACTGTATAATCTTAATGTGTTGCACGATAAACGTTTGATTCCGTTTGTTTTATTTAGACGCGTACATGTAGATGGTAAGGACTGAAATCGAATGTCATAGTGGTAATGATGACTAAGTTCAAATTTGATGCTTACGACACTTAACAACAAACCCGTTGCATCCGATTAGTACATGTGTACATATCTTCATATTTTTTGAAGATAATAGTAAAAAATGAAAATACGTGTTTCATCTGTACTGACGCAACGTGTGAAACTTTACAGTCTATCAAATATTTTTGTGTCTGATTTTTTTTCTTTCAAAATAGTGGGGCCTACGAACGGCAAATGGCATGAATGTTTAAACAGGTATGTAAGTCGTAGTCTATATTATATTGTTTTAAATTTGAGTATGTTTTTGTTTTGCTCAATTCAAATCCTGAAGATAATTGCGACTTGTGTACTCCGCATTGTACATTTCTTCACATTTTCAAGTCTTACAGAACTGTTTAAGCACAAATTTCAGATTTCAGCACATGATTATCTTTTATTATATTTTTATCATTATACATGTATTGTAACACAGCTTCCGTGACTGATCAATACACCATGCTTATGGGTAATCTTATCGTTTATGGATATAATTGTAAACTTTGTCCTAGATGAAATAGGTGCGTCCTAGATATAAAGGTATGTGCCGTTTATTGTTTGTTTTAAGAAAACTAAGACCATAGTCTGTCTAGCTGACAGAACCGTCTATGCCTTTTTGGCAGTAACAAACTGAAATGCTTCTTCTGTTAGAAGGCAAGTAGAGACATCCCTAAAAAATTCAGGTAGGCAGGTGACATAGACCGCCTGACATGTTTCTAATGAGCTGTCAGAATATTGGAAAAATAACGGCAATTTTTTCCGTAAACACGGACTGTAGTCAATTTCGTGAAAGTACAACTGTACTGGTTATGTACTATATCTTTATGTATCACTAATGAAAGTCAAAACAATATCATTATAAAGCCTAGGGTTGCAATAGTGCCAGGCCTTCAAGGAAGGGCGTCCTCCAAAACCTATGCCTGCTTTAAAGTTTGCATCGCATCGTTTTTCTCTGTAGAATGTGAAAAGGCATCATTAAATAGTGTTGTAAACCAGTTAAGATACCCTAACGTGATTATCCGTTCTTATGCAGATATTAAACCACGGTTCATTTAGCAATATTGTCCATTTTTCAAAGTGCCATCTTAACTTTAGTGTTTCTGTCAACAAAACATTTCTAAATTAAAACAGTCTTCTTGGATTATTTAACTCTTATACAGGACATTGCAACAAGGTATTCTTTCCTGTACTGAGCTAGCAATCTTTAACTTGGCGTTCTTAAACAATACATCCGTATTAATTGATTTTAAAAAAATTTTGACAAGAGACCGCTCCGCAATATTATAACACCACAATATGACATCACTTATGCTCATTTGAAATAAAAATGTGAAAACTCCATTACACCCTGCGTTGTAATATATGTATGTTGCGGTTTAGGTGGAATGCTGTTTAATGCCACCAGATATATATCAGTGCATTATCTTGTAGGGGCTACTGTCAGTCGGTCTTTTTTACTCTACATTGCAAACCAAATTTTACATTTCTTACGGAAAGAAATTGTACAATTTATCAGTTAAATGTTAAAATTTTAAATTAATTTTAAAATTAAGCACTAAGAACCGTCTATTTTCCCTACCCATATGGTTGATTCCATTTACTTCTTCTGTTTTCTGTATGATTATAAAATCTCATTCCCACTGTCCTAGGAGTCATTGTACTATACACAAATAAAACCAAAACATGTCACAATTTATCTTTTTTTATAGATTAATATAAAAGCGAATGCAGATATCATATTTCAGTTTTGCTTAAGTACAAAAAGTACTTTATAAATGTTATGCACTTAATTTTATTCATTAGACTTGAATAAATAAGACAATGTAATAATTACAATATTAATCAATGGATACCCTTTCTCATTTAACTTAATCAATTCACCATTAAACTCTCCTGTTCAATATTTGTTACAAAAAAATGTTTTACATATTGTTTCACCATTCTGGCAGTCGATTTACTGTAAGCTAATAAAAATTCAAACTCATTTTTAAAGGCACATGTAAAAAGAATGACTTAACACGTCAATGCAGATATCATATTTCTGTTTTGCTACGCTACAATAGTCCTTTTTAAATATGTTTTTAAAAGTCGGTCATTCAATTTGAGTGAATACTTAATTTGAAACCGATACCTATCTGTAATCGCGAGATTTACAGCGTTAACAATCATAAAAAAACTTATATTATGCTACAATTGGTAAATAATCGGAATCTATAAAAATAAGATAAAAAAGGAAAGGTAATCCCCCCCCCCCCAAAAAAAACAACAAAAAACTAAAAATGTGTCCATAGGACACGGGTGCCCCCACCGCGCCACTGATCTGTCAATCTTATGACTCTAGGTCAAATATTTTTTGAAAACTAAAACTATTTTACTTAGAAAAGGGCAAGAAATTTACAAATACTGAATAAATCCCCAAGCAATCCCCAAGGTGAATAAGTACACATGCTGACCAACATTCTTGTAATGTTTCATGCATACAAGTGAAATACTTTTTGAGCTATGCATGAACAAGTTGAAAATTGCAAATTTATACTACTGTAAGTCAATGGCAATAACTCTAACAAAACTGAAAAAAATCCACACGCAAAGTCCTAGGTTCATAGCTACACAGTGATGTGAATCATTATTCCTGTAATTTAGTGATGTTGATCATTATTCATGTAAAGTTGGTTGATTCTAACTCAAGCACTCAAGGAACAAATAACAACATAATGAAACGGTTTTTACTAAGTCAAGGGAAATAACTCTACAAATACTGGATAAATCCACAAGCAAAACCCTGGATGCAAAACTAAATATGCTGAGCAACTTTCCCGTAAGGTTTAATGACTCTATGTGAAATCCTTTTTGAGTTACATGCGACACAAGTTAAAAATTGCAAAAATTTTCTAAATCAAGGGCAATATCTCTAAAAACACTAAATAAATCCAGAGAAAATACCCAGGTGCACAACTACACATGCTGATCAATATTCCTGTTAAGTTTCATGACTCTAGGTCAAATCCTTTTTGAGTTACATGCGACATAAGTTTAAAATTGCAAATTTACTAAGTCAAGGGCAATAACTCTAAAAATACTAAAAATATCCAGACGAAAATACACAGGTACACATGCTGATCAACATTCCTGTAAAGTTTCATGACTCTAGGTCAAATACTGTTTGAGTTACGTGCGACACAAAAGAGAATTGACGGACGGACGGAAGGACGGACGGATAGACGGACAAGGGTTAATCTAAATGCCCGCAACTAAAGTGGAGGCACAAAAAACATAAATAACAGCAACTGTGACCACCGACAAGGAGCCCAACAGGTTTATTTGACTCGTTCTGTTTAGGTTTTTTTTGTTGCAGTTCTTTTGTTGATCTTGTTGTTTTTTTTTGTTTGCACCAACACAGAATAGGTCACATAGCTTTAATTGTTGAGGAAGGTACAAACAAACACTGACGTTCCGTGGACTAGATTAATTGAAAAAAATACCAAAAACTTACTTACATATCAGTAATACAGAAACTGTTAAACACAACGTTAACATCAGATTTTCAATATTTTCCTACTTCAAATACGTGATTTATTGAGCCCACATTGCATCTAAAATGTTTATGATAGTACAATTGTACTTTCATCATGTACACTTCATGTTTTAGTCATTAATATGACAATAAAGCTGTAATTGTTTCATAAAATTTTGTCTAAGCATACAAAATATTTGTGTCTTGAGACAGATATATTCATAAACTGAATGATACCAAATCCTTGAATAATGACCTGTTTGGGGGAAGTTAATGCTTAAAATAAGGTTATTAATTTATATCATTAAAGACACATCAGTCAGCTATCTTTACACTTGTGAAAATCACCCTATTCGTATTCATTAACATTAAGGGTTTGGATTTATCTCAACCTCGAATTTTTAAAGAAAATATATCTCAAGTTTTTCTTTTCTTTCTTTTTGTTCAGCTCAATACTTTTGATAAACACATCTTCCATGCCATATAACTATAAGGTAATTATAATTCAGTAAACCCATCTTTAGAATATTACAGTTGATTTCATTGAAAATATTAACGCTTTTAGCATAGCATATTAAAAGGTCATTATTTGGAATCATACATCAAAGAATGATAATATTGGTTTTTGTTGTCCGTTTTGACCGACTTGCATGCTGCTTATTAATCGTGGATTGTAGAATTATAGCATATTACTAATTTAAAACTGTCGTCAGCGCTTTGCAAATGTGATTGGCTTAGCTGGGCACTCCGAAATTTTTATTGTTCTTTGGAGAATATTTCAGATTTGTTTGTTCGGAGAAGATTGTGGCCATATCATTTCAATTATATCATATTGTATTAGTTTGTGACTTGGTCAATAAATGGACAGGATTTTTTTTTTCAGTTTTGGGTGCCCAGTTAAGGGGTAACCCCATTTATTTTC